CAAAGGGATAGTGTGTGACTGCTGCACGTCTGGCTCTGTGCTGGGGCACTGCGTGTGGTCCTGCTTCCGTGTCTCAGTAGTGACCTAGTGGAGGCGGCACTGAAATGGCAGCTGAACAACTAACTGAATGGAGTGGCTTAAAGGAGGAAGGCCAAGAAGGCAGGACCTTCAGCCTGAGAAGGAGAAGGGTGAGAGAGGATGTATTTGAAGCTTACAAAATGGCAAGGCACGCCTAAAGCAGGGCTGAATTCACTCGCTCCATCAGCACTAGATTTAGGGGAAACTTGATGAAGTGCATGGAAGACTGAATTTAAAAAAAAGAAAGTTCTCTTCAGAGAACAGATGTTCTGAAGCTTTCTGTCTTAAGAGGTGGCAGAGGCAGCTTCAGATGGGCGGATGAGACAAACCCAAAGGCCAAGCAGTTTGCCAGTTAATTCTGAGAGCAACAAGCAGGGTGGTCTCCATGCAGCAGCCCGGGGTGCTGGGAGAGCTGGAGGGAAAGGGCAGAAGCCAGTGCCCACCCAGGACAAGACAATGCCTTTGTCAGATCTCTGGCAGTTGTATGTCCATGTGTAATGTTGGCACCAACTGTCCAACCAAGCAGCATTGCTGTCCGGTCATCACTGGGCTGTAATACATATTGTATCCATTTTTATAGTTTCTTTTGTACTTCCAACAGACTTTATAACATCAATAATGTCATTCAGGTAATTATGCTGTAATTGACCTTAGGGTTGAGCATCCTTGGCTTTTACTGAAGTTTGCTTAATACTTCAGGATGGTCAATTATATCATAATCCCACTTTGTTGGCAACGATTGTTTTAATTATTACACTCCAAATAGATCATTTTAGCAGTAAGGGTACACTGGGGAATGGTCATATTCATGAATATTTTAAAGAGTTACCAGCTTTTATTGTGGGGGAGGGCTTTTCATCTTGCCATCTCTAGTCATTACTTTTAACACTGATTCTATTCAGTTATAATTTAGTCTGCTCAGGCCAGGTCTTCATCTGCAGAAGTGAGCATATGAATAGCTGGGGTTTACAGGATTTGAGAGCAGTTGGAAGACTGCACAATCTGACCATATTGATTTATTTTTTTTCTTTTTTTCCCTGCCATTACAGCATGAGTCATCTTTATTAATGTAAGTAACTTCAGTGGAAGCTGGAGTTAAAATGGTGACTTCAGTACCTCAGCTTTCTCTTTTTCCAGGCAGTCTCAAGTATTAATTATACCAAGTAGAAAGTGAGGATGGTGATGTTTGCCTTGTTACCAGTGATAATTTTATGGCTCAGTAAGAGGCTTATATTGCCCTCTTTATGATCATTTAATTTGTTCCTGTGTGGCATTGATATTCCACCAGGGGAAGTACCCTGTGAGTGTTATAGAGAAGATGCACTGCTTTTCTCCATTTGGAGTTGTGAAACTCTGAATGGCCTTCATGGTAGGCAATCTTTTTGTTTAACACTGTGCTCAGTACTGCCTGGAATACACAGTAAGGTATACCGTGCCATGTTTTACGGTCTAGTGCAACAAATACTGTGGATCCAGCACTAGAAACAAACTATGTCACTTCTTAAGCCAATTATGTGAAGAAGGCAGTATGCTCAGCCTTTTTATAAATGTATCTGTTCAAATGTTTTTTGTCAGCGTTTTGTGATGTATTTAACATGAATAAAAATGTCCTACCTAAGCAGAAAATGAAAAACTGGTACATTCTGCTAAAAAGGAAAATGAATGTAACCCACTTTCCCCAAATAATATTGTTTCCTATGTCTGATCTAATTATTATATGTGAGCAAACTCTGTGTTGGTTAGTAGGAAAATGCTACTCTTTCTAGTAGATTAATGTTTTTTGTTGAAGAGAACAGCAGTGTGAAAGACTTATTTCTCTATAAATTTCCATAGTCACTAGAATAAGGACTCTGGCCCATTAAGTTGCTGCCTGCCAAAGCATAATGCTGAATCTTTTAATTTGTCTCAGTAGCCATTTTCCTCCCATTTCTTAAAGGCAATATTAGGACAGCACTGATGTTTTAATCGAGAAACAGTGCAGAATCTGGTGAGCTAAGTGGTTCGCTTCAGTGGTTGTTGCCTCACAGCTTGCAAATATGAAGAATTGGAATACATCGATTTGCAGACATGGAAACCAGAAAGTGTGTGGGTACAGGGTTAATATGTAAGAATTTGATGTCAGTGGAAGCCATGAAGACATTGTTGCACCCCATATATAGATAGATCCTTACAGATGTACTAGTAACCTGAAAAGCAAGAATGTTTAATTTGTTGAGTAGTAATTGGCTTTTTAGATAAAATAATGTTAGTCCAAATTCACTGGCCAAATTTCGGTTTGGCAATTGAGATTCTAATGCTTCCTTTCACTCCACTGATTTGCTCACTCTCCCCATCAGCTATCATTAGGTTAGTTGTCAACATTTTTTCTACAAATGCCAGGTGGGATACCGTATTTTCATATCAGAATCAAGTCTGATCCATCTTTGAAGCAGTAAAACCATTAAGCAGTGTGCATTGCTCCAGTGCCCAATGTGGTACTCATCCTTTATGTGCTGGAGATAATTAACTACTTTATCATTCTAGTAGGAAGCTTTAATTTATTACTTTATTAAGCAGTGAAATCAAAGATTAAAATGGTATCTGTAGCACATAGCTAACTAGATTGTGAAAAATGAAACTATATAGTTTCAAATTCATGAAAATAAGTATTTCTATTTAAATAAGTGCAGTAATTTACTTTAATTCTTCAGACATCAGTCTAATTTGTAGTTTACTGGTGATTATTTTTCTTCGTTTTAAAGTAATTTGCTTTCTGTAGGGTGAAGTTGAGAAATAATGAATTGAATTCACATTACAAGCTACCGCCTCCCAAATTATAAATTAATATAAATGTAATAGGAGTCTGCTATTAAAATCTTTTGCAAAAGACTGTGCTATATCATTGCAGTAAACAAATACATTTTTCAAGCTATCAGTTCATTTAATACTGTGTTTATACTTAGCCTCTATTTTTAAGGATTCTGTGCTTATTGTCACTACTGTCTCCAAATGCCTTAACATGCATTTTCTCTTCAGAGCAAGCAGTAGCATTTTTAATTTGTCATTTACAGTGTAGCAGTTGATTAATGATCTACTTTAAAGCTAAACCATTGAACATGTTTTAAGATATTCTTTTCTCAGGGTAGGAAATCCATGTATGCTGCCAAAAGGAGAAAGAGGGAGGGAAATGAGAAAGACACAGGCAGTGCTCAGCACTGGCTTTTCACTAAAATTTGTTGTTTCTACTCAGGTAAGGAATCAGCTTATGCTTTTACTCAGAAGGATAAATAACAGTCACCAGTTAAGAAAGCTGAAGATCTTTTTTCAAATTCTACCACTCATTAATCTGAGCTACTGTTGACAAGAACTGGAAATTTTAAAGAAGTGGCAGCTGGGTGTCCAGGCAAGGAGAAACGTTCTGTTATGTGACTTGAGCAATGACTGCATCTTAACTTGTGGTTAAGTGTTCTTAATTATTGCCAGAAGTTTGTGGTATAGCATGTTGAGGAAATAAGACATTCAGTAACAGCAATGGAACAGGAGTTGCAGAGCATAAATGCTGACTTCTGGGGTTTGTGTTCCTGGTGATTGTGATAAAATATACTTACGGAGGCATGCAGTTAACCCTCAAACCAGAGTGCTGTACTATACAGCTATATTGAAGAACAACAAATTATTATAAGACATGGAAGAAAATCTCAATGCCAGTGTTTTCTGCATGTGCAAGAGGGTCTAAAATCCAGCAGTAAGGACTTCTTTAGTTGTTCCCCTCAACATCTTACGTAAGGAGAATAGAGAGATGCAGACAGCCAGCAGGGTTTAAACTGAGGATTATTTTCATCTTCATACCTGTCAGTTCCAATTCTGCAAAATACCAGAACACATCCTTAGTTATGTACATTCAACCATTGACTTCATTGTGAGATAAAGCTTAGTGTCTGGTTAAATGCTTTCTTGAGTTAAGGCCAAAAGCTGCTGCTGCTGCTAAAATCAATCCCAGAAGAAATTTTGCATCTTTCATTACTTCCTTGTTTGTGTATGAACATACAGGCTCCACCAAGCTCTGGAAATATGTTAGGATTTGATAAATGTCATCTTGATTGTTTAAAGAAGTAGAGCAGAGTTGCTGAATGACAGCGCCCAAAGTGCAAATTACCTTCCATTCTTTCCCATCCCATAAGTGTGCTCTGTAACCGTCATTAATAAGTGATGTCCACAGAATAGCGGAAGACTTCCCTGAGCCACTGCACTGTATTCCTGTCCTGCAGGCACAACTGGAAACTGTAAAAGCCGTTGGACTAAAATGAGTACAGAGAAATTCTTTACAGAGAGAATGGTGAGGTGCTGGAACAGGCTGCCCAGAGAGGTTGTGGATGCCCCGTCCCTGGAGGTGTTAAAGGCCAGATTGGATGGGGCCATGGGCAGCCTGATCTAGCTGGGGAGGTTGGTGGCGTTGCGTGTGGCAGAGGAGTTGAAGATTCATGATCCTTGAGGTAACTTTCAACCCTGGCCATTCTATGATTCTGTGATTCTGTCTTAGCTTGAACCGTCTTTGTTCTTCTTGTGATTTCTGCAGGCATATACGTACACACTTCTTCTGGGAGGTCAGTATTGATTTAACCATGCATATTTATACAGGAAACAAGCCAGAAAGTATTCACAAAATGGTCCAAAGTAGCTCTACATTCATCTTACTAATACTGCAGATATCAACTCCTCCATGTAAACTGATCTCTTTTATTTGTGTCTCTTGCAGTGCACTGGGCACTTTTAACACAAGAAACTTGCTGGGTTGCTATTGCTGATTAAAACCCAAAGTGCTGTCCTTAAGAACAGCTCTAAATCATCTTGCTGGGTTAAGTTGTGTTGAGGTAATTTGACAGAAAAAGTCCTGTTTGGAAGGAGCATCTGATGTGTTTTCTTCATCTCTTTTCAAAAAGCAGAGCTCTTCTGTATCTCCCTCAGCCAGTTTCAGAACAGCAGAAAAGCACAGAAATTCGACAGATTATTCTTCAGAGAGTAAAAAACAGAAAACAGAAGAGAAGGAAATAGCAGCTCGTTATGTGAGTAAAAAATTACATTCTGTACTGTTAAACTTAAATGTTCCTTTATAATTTCACCCATTTCCTACTGCATAACTAATTTTAAAATTGATTTTAGGATTCAGGATTTTACTATGTTCTTACTGTCTGTACCTACCATTTACAGTGGTTGGAAGGCTTGTATGTGTAGGATTGATAGCATTTTTGATGACATAAATAAAGAACATGTGGAAGGCAGTGTATGAGGATAGAGCATTAATTAGGCTGGGACTTGATAAATTTGCGGTCTAGCTTGTCTCCACTTCTTGGTGCAGTGCAACTTTGGATGAGGATTTTCATTCTCTGTTTTATCCCCTGATCTGAAAACCTATCTGGGAATAATACTGCAGCTAGTGAAATCTTTCAAGGAGAAGCACTGTAGGTGACCAAAATAATGCAGTTTTATTCCTGGATAAATCTTGGTTTAAAAACAGGCTATATTACGTAGTTGTGAGCAGCTTTCCATTTCTTTCACTTATTTTTTCTTTTTACTTAGGAAACTCAGGGTATTAAATATGTATTTTTTACACATTGTGTCTTATTGCAGGACAGTGATGGTGAAAAGAGTGATGACAACTTGGTAGTTGATGTTTCCAATGAGGTACACAGAATGTTTTTGCTTGTTTTTTGTTTTTTGGTGTTTTTTTTTTTCATTTGTTTGATTGTTTAGGCGGGTTTTTTTTTTGTTGTTGTTGTTGTTGTTGTTTTTTTACCTTACAGTAGTGGGGGTTAGATGGTGGTGTCTTCAATACTATCTATGTATTTCGGGTGTGAATAAGATTACAGTCTTTGCCTTCATAAGAGAGCCAGCTTGAGGGAGTCCAATCATGTCTCTCTTTAGGATAAAAAACAGATCTGTAGCACTTATTTGTACAAAAGACATTTTTTGTTACTTGTACGTCCCAAAAGTGTGCTCTGAATCCAGCCCAGTTCAGCTCATAAATGGTGTTTTCTTTCACTCTGGTCTTTACTTCTTTTGTGAATTTATCAGGTCTGCCACATGCCTCAAACCTTTCTAGCTCAACACTTAAAGAATGAGACTTAATTTCCTATTTCAGTATCCACAGACTTCAAACATCATTTTTAATGTTCAGTAATGTCAATTTTTAAGACTTTCTTAAAAATAAAATTAAAAATCTGTTATACATATTGATTTTAAAATTTTATCAACTAAATTGCTGAAGGGCTAAACGAACATGTCACATTTTATGGAAGAGCTTCACTCCAAAGTGCGAGTTGCTCAGGACAAGCACTGTTGGCTAGTATGAACTTTTTATAGTAATCCGCATTGCTGATGTTTAGGATCCTTCCTCTCCACGGGGGAGCCCAGCACACTCTCCAAGGGAGAATGGCTTGGACAAGACTCGACTGCTGAAGAAAGATGCTCCAATTAGTCCAGCGTCTATTGCATCCTCCAGCAGTACTCCTTCCTCTAAATCCAAAGAACTTAGCCTTGTAAGTGCTTTTGAATTCACCTGACCTGAGTTATTACACAGAAATAGTTGCTTACCAGACTTCTAGCTGGATACCATTTGAATTTGTACAACTATCAGTAAAGCATTATGAAGCATTAGTTTAAAATTTGTTTTTGTTTTTTAAGTAATTTTTATAAAACAGAAGGGAAGAAGTCCGCAGCCTTTTGGAGGGATAGGAAAAGGTTGTTTTCATTGGTGGTGTGGGTAGATGATAGATGCGCTGTGTTGAGAGATGTTTTTCTCCTCCCCAATATGAAAAACTGTCATTCTTAGAATAAATAAGAGTACACAGGGGTTCCTTGATCTGTTTGCCTGTGCCTGTGGTTTATAGCAAATTCAGTTTTGCTTGGATGTGATTTGGTTGTTAGCTTTGTTTGAATTACCAGGCCATATACAACAACAATAATTTTTATTTTCTATCTAAAAAGTAATCTGTCATTTACAAGAGCCTTCCTTGACTTATATCGTAAATCACAAGGCAAAAAAAGAGTTGCCAGCAAGTCGGGGGTATGCTTTCCTTTCCTGTTTGTGGCCAAAATTAATCACATTTCTGAGCTGCATAGTAACTCCCTTCTGTGTTCTTCACAGGTCAGGGTATGTGATTACTTCAAGAAATAAAATAAATAAAAGAAAGTTTAAAGTGAATGTAGTGCTCAGGAAAGGTGATGGAATGACAGGTTCAGGCCCAAGAGTCAGCAATCTGTCTGATAAACAAGCTTGTCACAAGAGCAGCAGTGCACAGTCCCTGACTTAATGCCCATCACTGTCTCTACCTTATGTTACCGGTACCATGTTTGTGTGTGAGCTGTTGGTCAGTTGTGCTTTTTTTCTGCTCTTCTTATCTATAAGGCAGTGGTTCCTCAAATAAGCTTGTAGTATGAGCAGTTCTGTGACCACTGGACGGATTTAACATGTGCTGCCAATATAATTGCCAAGCCACAGTGATCTTCAATCACTGACCTCATTCAGTATCACATAGATGCCTTGGGCAATGAAAGCTGTGAAAGCTGTAGTTAATTCCTAAACCATTCTGTCTTCTTCAGTGTCTCTTTAGTTTTCATTGCCAGTGACTTTTGAAACCCAAACCCAAAAGCTAGATTTCACTGATTAGATGTGCACTTGTGTCTTCCACTAGCTTTACAGCAACTAGTCAGAAAAGTAAAACAACTAATGCACTGTTTTCCCTTCTTCTTTCTGATGATTAGAATGAGAAATCTACTACTCCTGTATCTAAATCAAATACCCCAACTCCACGGACTGATGCACCGACTCCAGGCAGCAACTCCACTCCTGGACTGAGGCCCGTGCCAGGCAAACCTCCAGGTGTGGACCCACTAGGTGAGCGTTGATCTGCCTCAGCGTTGTGAAGATGCTTCCATTCATCCCAAAACCTGCTTCCTTCCAGTGTACATTGGCATCAGAATTTACTGCTACTTAAACTGGATGCCAAGTTGGGTCTTCAGCACTTTAAACAGCATATATACATATGTATGTATAGAGAGATATAGATATGTAGATGCATATTTATATACATACAAATATGCTGTGTTATATCAGTATATGTACTGTACTGTTTGAGAAACTCATATTTCTTCTGATGGGTCTGGCATGGCTGAGTGACTTCTCTCTTTTTTGCTTCAATAGCTTCAGGTTTAAGGACACCTATGGCAGTGCCGTGTCCCTATCCAACTCCATTTGGTATTGTGCCGCATGCTGGTATGAATGGAGAACTGACCAGTCCTGGAGCTGCCTATGCTGGTCTACACAACATTTCCCCTCAGATGAGTGCAGCGGCTGCAGCGGCTGCAGCAGCTGCAGCTTATGGGAGATCTCCAGTGGTAAGTGTTAGCTGCTGTTAAGTAATTCATTTTGAATGTAAGAATTGTGGGGTAAATCTAGCCTTTGTAATTCAGGAAGTTTGCTATGGAGAAAGAGAATTAAACTGTCTTCTTTTGCCTGTCTCCGTCTTTAATATACCTTTTTGTTTTGCCTGGGGAAAACTGTAGGTTGGTTTTGATCCACATCATCATATGCGAGTCCCAGGCATCCCTCCCAATCTCACAGGCATCCCTGGAGGAAAACCGTGAGTATCAAATATTCAACTTTACAAATTATTCATCTGTTAAAGTTGTGTTCCCTTGTTGATTGGAATTGCCCTTAGCTATTGAAAATTGTTGTGAATTAGAATAAATATAGATGTTTGGCAAAGGAAGGAGAAACTCTATTGAATCTTGAAGTGGTATTTGCAAATTTGTTTTGAAGATTAATAGCAACTGGCAAGTATTGGGTAGAGTAGAGAAAAGGGGACAGAGAAAGGATCTGAGCTTCAGGGTGTTATATGCTGAATCTGACTAGTTGGTCTTACATAGAAATACAAATTGGAGTGGGATCTTGGCTTTCCTTCTCCACTTTACTCTGCTTTTCAGTTTAACAAATGATTTCTTTGTTCACAAAAGCCTTGCAATTACTTGCAAACTTACCAGCTGTTACAGGCAGCAGTGTGCAGAGAAAGGAACACTGAAATGTTTCCTTTGATTGAAAATACTGGAAAGAATTATTGTATCATAATGTTCAAATTCATCCTTGATGGAACTGACCGCAAAAGGTGACCTGCTCTACCACGCATCACTTGTTGTGAGTCTCAGAAAAAGAATTACATAGATATGAAGAGCTCTGTGCTCACATCCCTCTTGAGTTAGAGAGGAGAAAAATAAAGCATTGATGCAAACAATATTGATCTGAGTTTTATGTGAGGGTCCCCAGTTCCACTTCCTATGTGACACCCCTTTTGTACGAACTTACCACTAAATTCATACACCTTGTCAAACTCTCTTAGACTGCACACACTAGTTCACCTCAGTTGATTCTGCCAGTTATTCTGCCCTGATAGATTCTTTGAAAATTTGAAGTTTGAAACTTGAGTTTGAAAATTGATGTGCAACAGATTCCAGATCAGCTGTTTACATTAAGAATTTCTGCAGGATGGAGATTTTCTTCTTTACACATGCAGTAGAAATTTAGAAATTTCTAGACGTAACGTTCAGGTGTTTGCACTCTTCAAGTTCATCCATCATGAAACTAGCTCCAGGAAGGGTAACCAGCTATGTTAAGCTATGCTTGTCTGGTCTGAGAAACTTTAATTGTGCAGACCTTCTGCTCACATTTAACATGTGGTGATGAGGGAATCTGAAGTCAAGTGAGTTCAACTTTTGTTGCATCTGGAAGGTTTTTGAGTGGTCACTGATGTACTGATGACTCTTTTAATTCACAATTGCATTTAAATATTTGTCAGCCTTGGAATCTGAATTTGAAATCTGTGATTCCTTCAGCATGATTATCTTAATTTTTAAGTAGAGTATTTTTCACAGCTATCAGGACTGTTGTTTTGTAATTTACACTTTTTTTTCCTTTAAGACAAAAGCTCTGAAAATCTCTGCTGTTGAATGTTAGCTGATATGCAGCAGTTAGTTGAAACAGATCCCTTAAGTGCGGTGTGTCAGGGATCTACCTACAAATAATTGTCTTTCCAGTTCAGACATATTTCACAGAGAAGATAGAAAAAATGGGTAATTTGAAAAGAAGAAATAATTACTAAGTGTTTATTGTTATTTGTAGTGTCAGATATTTTTAAGTTACTTAAGTAACACATTGTGTGAATTTCTCAGTGTTTAAGAGCAATTAAAAAGCAACAGTTTAACCACACATGCTGGTGGGAATAATGGATGGGATGAGAATAATGTAATTATTAATTTCTCCAGAATTAAGCTTTATTTCTGTAATTGTTCAAATTTGTTCTCTGTATGCTTAATAAGCCCGGTAGAATCTCTCTGAATAATGAAAACATATAGAAAGTCTCGAGCATGGCTCTGTGCAGAATGACTGAAACTTTATACAAAAATCAGAGAAGATGATAATGAAGTTCCACTTGTTTTGTTAGAATTTTAGCTTCTTTTTTTTCAGTACTCTACTGCAGTGAACAGGAATTAAGGAAGTAATGAGAAAGTTATTTCAGATTTCTGTAGTGATAATTGAAACCAAGATTCTACTCATATTGGCAGTTTGCTGCTTCTGACAGCCACAGAAATCTGTCCTACCTTTCCTGAATGTGTTTAATGTCAAAAAATGGGGAATGATGATATGATGTGTCACTCAGGCCTGCCAGAACAAGAAATGGAGAGCAGGATGAGAAGAGTTGGTAAAGCTTTGGGAATAGGGCAGGAAGGCGAAAATGCAGTTGCGTTTTATCCTGATGAAAATTACTGTTCTGATGTTAATATACTATGAATCTTAAATAACAAACTCAGTAGTTGAATTCTGAAGCCTGCCTTCTTCAGTGACTGTCAAGCAACAATTAAAGAAATGAGCTTTCTAGGTAGGATCATAAAGTGATTTTTTTGGGTTTTTTTGTGAGCTGTTCTCAACCTCACCATTGTTACATTTTGTTTTTTTGTTTGTTTTTATCAATACTTCTGTGATGTTTTAAGTCTAAAGAAATTAAAGCTTTCTGTTAAGGTTACCTTTAGTGCATGTAGGTGAACCCTCTTGTAATGTTTATAGTCTTGTAATAGATATGATGTGTCAAGAAGCATTGAAGAACAAGATAGTTTCACAACGTAACTGTTCTTGGAAAATATTTTGAGATGAAGCTGTTGATAGGTTATTCACAGGTGGCATAACTGGCAGTCACACAACACATTCTTTCTCAGTGAGAGTCCTAATTCTGGCAAGAGAAATTGGGATTTGTAGTTGTGTCAGCTTCACACACACACACGCACAAAAAAAAAAAAAAAAAGTAAAAAGAAAGAAAACTCAGAAGAAGGAAGGAAATTCCAATACGTTTCTGCTGGTCTGTCGTGTCAGATGTCAGCAAGCCTACCTGGGGGCTTAACCCCTTCCTAGTGGTGGTTTCACTGCTTCGGTAACACTGTGTGGGACCTGCAGTGTGTCTGAAGCAACTAGGTAGTGATCCAGCTGAAGTCCACATGTTAGAGCAACCAAATGTTATCTGGCACTCAGCTGCCCCCAGAGGTCTACTGCAACTGGCTATCTATTTCTGTCTTTCAGTGGACCCTGACCTGTCCTTCCCTTCTCTGCAGGCAGTGGTCTCCCCATGCATTGCTGTGTTATGTATCTCACTTGAAATCCTGGTTACAGATGTCTAAAAAATTTCTTTCTTATATTATAGAAAAAAAGCTTTGAAAGGAGCTAAGTGACAATCTGAATGCCCGTAGTGGAAACACATAAAAAATTCTGTTTTCCGAAATAGGCTTGAAGAAAAACTTTGTATTGCTTGTCCTCTTATCCCTATGTTTTTCCTTCGTAGGGCATACTCGTTTCATGTAAGTGCAGATGGCCAGATGCAGCCTGTTCCTTTCCCTCCCGATGCCCTCATCGGTCCAGGAATCCCTCGCCATGCCCGTCAAATCAACACTCTGAACCATGGGGAAGTTGTGTGTGCAGTTACCATCAGCAACCCCACGAGACATGTGTACACGGGTGGCAAGGGGTGTGTCAAAGTCTGGGATATCAGCCACCCTGGCAACAAGAGCCCTGTCTCTCAGCTTGACTGCCTGGTAAGTAAATGGTAGCTTACGATGGTAGAAGACGACAGCAGGTTGTGTTAAGATTTAAATGATACTGTTAAGGTACAAAAAACAGTGGCTATTTGTGTTCTGTCATTGGTATCAAAGCTTGATACTTTATTTGTAATCTTACTTCTTTTAGAATGCAGTTTGAAGTATGTTCCTTGTAATACTCGTGTTGTTTTCCCCCCAGTGAATCAAAACATCTTTAATATCCTAAAATTGTATTGGAAGAGGGAAAGATCAAAGACAGTACAGCAGATATTGTTTCTAAACTTTGACATTTGTTGGCAGTGTTAAAGCTTGATGTCCCATCATGCTAAAAATTGCTGTCTTGCAGCGGTATTCTCAGAGAATATTTGAAGACAGTCACGTATTTTATGTTTGTGCATGTGTGTGAATGCATTGCCTTGTCTTAATGTGACAATTAAAAATATCCCAGAGTGTTATTCACAAATTATTTGAATGTGCTAACAAGACAAACCATTGTTAGCAGTATTTCTCGTGTCATTTACCAGTTTTTGGTAAGATGTTGCTTCTTGTTACAAAGGAAATAAAATGAGAACAGTGCAGCACGTGTAGACATATAATGAATTGCTACACAAATCACTACACAAATGAAGAAAATTGCCCAAATATTTTTCTCTGACATCTCCTAGATGGTGGCAGCAAGTCTCACTGGAGCAGAGTAGGGGGATGTGCAGGGAATTTGGTACTCTTCCATGCCAAGGGGTTAATGTGCTGAAATAAACTGCATATGAAAATGTAACTTTCTGCACAAGCTGTTGAATACAGCTGTCTTGAATTGTTTGGAGTTGGGTTCAGGTCTTTGCATTTTGATGCTAATTAAGATTAAATATCTCTCGCTACTGAATTTTGTAGATCAAGTTTAAGTACTTCCCTAATGTCATGTAATTTTCTGGCATTAATATACTTTATCATTGTCATAAGTATAAATGGCTCATTAAAACCAGGAGGGAATACAATACTTTTATGGATTTCTGCTCTCATGTTAATGCTGTTTTCCTTTCCTCATGAGTAATCTCTCGATGGTTTCTGTCTCCGCAGAACAGAGATAACTACATCCGTTCCTGCAGATTGCTCCCTGACGGCCGCACCCTGATTGTTGGTGGAGAAGCCAGCACGTTATCCATTTGGGACCTGGCAGCTCCGACTCCACGCATTAAAGCGGAGCTGACATCTTCTGCTCCAGCTTGCTATGCCCTAGCGATCAGCCCCGATTCCAAGGTCTGCTTCTCTTGCTGTAGTGATGGGAATATTGCAGTGTGGGATCTGCATAACCAGACTTTGGTGAGGTAGGTCGACAGAACCAGATCACTGGGTTGCGAAGAATTAATTAAACGTAGCCTTACATGCTCTTCTGCATAAATGCACTCATTTCTTTGTGGTGTCAGCATAGTTGCTCCTGCTATTTCATTGCTAGGCAATAACTATGTACTTTGTGCTAGGCAATGACTAGTACTTTGACAGAAATCTATTTAATTGTTTGTGGGTTTTGAGAGTTTCGTAATTTCAAGCCTGCCAAACTGCTTCCTAACTGGTAATTGCTAAAGATCACTTGGTGTTGAAATTGCTGTAGGTTTTTTGAAAAGATGAATTTCTTTGTTTCCGTGCAATACACTGTGCTCACACTCCAGTCTCTTTAATCAGTGTTCCAGCAGATTTGTCTGCAAATATGTCTCAGATACAAATGTGTGCAAATCACTTCATTGCACACCTGGGCTTCTTAGGAGTTGGGGTTGATGTTCAGTAATAATGACCAGTAAGATAGTTAGGAGCCACTCGTACAGACCTTTGTACTCTGCACTGCGTACATGTTGCTATAAGGTATACTGTTTAAATATTGCACGCAAAGACAGGCTTTAACCATCTGATGCTTCCATTTGGACTACCTTTAAAAGAAGAAAAATTGTCATTGTCCTTCAGATTCTCCTTAATGCAAACAAATTTTGACAGTCATGCAACATTCTTTCAGAAGCATGTGGTATTTCCAGTCAAAACATAGGTATTAAATAGCAGCAAAGGCCCTCAGAATACCTAATTCATGAAGAATGCTTCTGAAAATCAAATTAACACTTGGCTGTATGGTGTGATTAATTGCGTTGTCAATTCATCACAAAGCTCATATGGCCATTCCAGAATTGAGATTAATCTTAGATTTCCATGGCAATTTAACTTTTTCCTTCAGATTTCCATGGCAATTTACCTTTTTCCTTCCTTTAATGATAGAGTTTCAGAGACCAAAAGAAAAAGGAATTATTCTGAGTAAATAATCAGAACTGATTATTTCTGGTATGAGAATGTGTGAATCTTTTTATATTTTCAGACAATTTCAGGGTCACACAGATGGAGCCAGCTGTATTGACATTTCTAATGATGGAACCAAGCTTTGGACAGGAGGCTTGGACAACACAGTCAGATCCTGGGACCTGAGAGAAGGGAGACAGCTACAGCAACATGATTTCACATCACAGGTGCAATCTTTGGAGCTTCAGCATATTCAGAAAAATGTGTCATTGTTTTCTAAAAGAAATGCTTCTATAAAATAATAATAATAATAACAATAATAATGAAAAAAACAGACTCAAAAACACTCCAAATAATTTAGCGTCATGCTCTTTTTTTTTTTTTTTTTTTTTTTGTTTGTGGGCAAGACATTTTTCTGGATTATTTCTGTTTGACAGATTAGTACTTCTCCTATGAAAGCAGTGGAGAATCCTTTCTATAAAATAATTGCCAGATTAAAGTGTTCCTGAGTGCAATCTGTTCCCATTCCTGTAGGTCCTTGTTCAAAAATATTTTACAAAAATATTTTTAAATGCTGTCAGATAAGCTAGGACATTAACTTTTATAGCTTGATTCAGTGCTTTGCTATTACAGTTTTAATTGAGCTTTGTTTACATGAACTAATTTATCTTGATTACTATAGTAATTGGATTTTCGTGTTTTTTACACTGTAGCAGACTATGATCTGTTTTTGCGTAGTGTTAACAGTGTAGCAAGAAGTCAGTTTAGAATATCTGGAGCTCCTTCCTGACTGACTGAAGCATGTGCTGTGCTAATTCCAGATCTTCTCGCTGGGCTATTGTCCAACTGGTGAATGGTTGGCAGTAGGAATGGAGAACAGTAATGTCGAAGTGCTGCATGTTACTAAACCGGACAAGTATCAGCTACATCTTCATGAGAGCTGTGTGTTGTCACTCAAATTTGCTCACTGTGGTAAGGAAATACTTCCATGCCAGTATTTTCTTTCCTTCCTTCCTGTAAAATTCTTTCAACAATGCCTGTAGATGAAATTAGAGATTTAGAGAAAATTTAAGAGTTGGATTTTGAAGTTAAGCATTAAAACTACTCAAAAATTCATTCCTTTTTTCTGTAGAAACTCCCTGTGTTGTCACCAAACCTCTTAGTGTTACTGGTTTAAAATGTGACTATTCTTTTGATGTGTTTTTCATTAACATGTGAATGTGTTGTTCTTATGACTGATCTGTTGCTTGGGGTGCATTTTTTTAAACGTAAAAGCAACAATAACATTTAAACAATCTGTTGCAGGCAAATGGTTTGTAAGCACTGGAAAAGATAATCTTCTTAATGCCTGGAGAACACCTTATGGAGCCAGTATATTCCAGGTAATAATCTACTAAAAGCTATTTTCCACATTACATTATAGTGCAGTAGAGCTGCACATCTCACAGTCTGTCATTAGCTTAAGGAGTTTTTAAATGGAAGTTCCTGGCTAATTGCTATATTAGGTAATTAAAGAGACATACTTCTGTCCTTTCTAACATTTTAGTAATTTATCTCTTACAATCAAGTAACCATTTATTCTGAAGTTGTTTTTACTGTCTTTCTTTTTAACCTTCTTGTGCATAACCCAAGTCATGTTAGATCAGCATTCACTGAAGGTCCTGCTTGTAGCTGAACTAGTAAAGTCATACTCAACATGTGTTTTTCTTAGATGAGGTGCATAAGTTCAGTGGATTGGACAGGCACACTGGTGAACTGAAGACTACATCCTTATGGAGGGATCCTGTTGGATGGAATTAAAAACTGTAGCTTTTCAGCAGTTTTTAATCCTTCTGTGCCTGGTTTTAATAGCACTTCAGTGCCATTAAGAGAAAGCAGGATTTTTGTCATGTACTTTCACTTACTGGTATTTCTATGCTGGGACTTTTTAAATTAAGCTAGCTGGTGTTCCTACTTAAATGATCAGATCTCACCTGTACTGATACCTGTAATGATTCTGTCTTCCAGAACAGCAGTACATTTTGTCTTGGCATTAGACTTGGGAAGTCTAAGCTCTGAGTTTTTGTACTGGAGAGTATTCAGTGGTAGAATGACTTCCCACAGAAAAATCTTTTCAAGGAACTTGCTTGAAACTGTTATCCCATTGCAGCTTTCTTAATGAGGGGTAGAGAAAGAAACTTCTGTAGTGCAGTAATGTTTCTTTGCAAAAATATAGTGTATATATAGCTCTTGCAGAGAGAGGCAGAAAAGAAAATGTTGGCATATATATACAGGAAACACTAAATGCACTGACACAGCACGTAAAATATGGCAGTACACAGACATCATCTGAAAAAAGGCAGAATAGCTGGGAAAGGCACAAAGCTATTGCACCCTGTTGTATCCTATCTTCCATTTACTTCCTTTTACACTACTGTGTCTTTTCTATGTTTGCATCTTTGCTGATAATGTAAGTTTATTTGTGCAGGAGTTGTTTTGGTGTTCTTTTTTTCACTGTTGGGCAAATGCTGAGATGAGATATAATTACTTCTGTTGGATTGTTTTGTAGTGTTTCTCCATAAAAATTAAAATGAGAAAAGGAGGGAAGAATAAGATTTCTTTCAATTTATTTTTATCCAAAGACTAATGTATAAACTATTAATAAATGCTCATAACTTGTAGAGCGTATACAAGGGACTGCTTGTTTTTGATGGATTGATATGTTATCTTTAGGTCTATTAAATAAAACATTCCCTTCCTTTTTTGCTGCCCTTTTGTGTTGCCATAGAGCTTTAGATGAAACAAATTTGTAGAAAGTCTTGTAGCAAAAGCTGTCACCTTTTCACTTCTGATTCAAACCTGTAGTGCTGGTATTTAAGTGAGCTTTCTGTGTATTCCCTGACTGTAAACTCTTCTGATTAATTTTCAGGCTCTTTTGGTTTGAAGGATTGAAAAGATGTAATTCTTCTTTTTTCTTTTTCTCTTTTTCTTGTAGTCCAAAGAATCCTCATCCGTGCTTAGCTGTGATATCTCTGTGGATGACAAGTACATTGTCACTGGCTCTGGGGACAAGAAAGCTACAGTCTATGAAGTTATTTATTAGAGACAAATCTAAACGCAGGCAGAACTCCTTCTCCTAGCACTTTGCTGTATTTCATTTTTTTTTCTCTTTTTTTTCTTTTCTAAACTAAGAACTTAAATGCTCATCGCAGTTGTGGAATTTATTTTGACCTTCTTAAATTGCTATTGATTTGTGAATGCTCATTAAGAACTTGTGATACCAAACTGTCAGATAGCTATTTGGGAGAAGATTGAATAAGCATACTTAACAGTGAACCTGACTCTTTAATTATGTATTATAGCTGTAATGTATTTATTTTGTGTAAAGAAGGCTTTCTAACAATGAACTGACTAAATAAAGCTGTCTGGCCCGGCTTTAGTTTAAAAGGTGCATTGAATACTTTGCTTTTTTGCTAGTGGATAAATTGGGGATT